AATGTTATTGCACGGGCACATGGGCAAGAGGAGAGGTGAAGTTGTCCGAGGTCTATTGTAAATTTCCTTGATCAACTAAATCAACTAATCTATTTGAGCACTAGGCTAGTTTTCGAGGAATCATTCGAGAACACAATCTCTGTATGTTATTGCATGTGTCTAATGTTATTTGCATAGGGAGAGGTGAAGTTGTCCGAAGTCTATTGTGCATTTCCTTGATCAACTAATCTATTTAAGCAGCCCTCAACTAATCTATTTGAGCAGCCCAGTAGAAGTTGTCCGAGGTCTGTTGTGCATTCTGATTGATTTTTAAGGAGTCATTCAAGATCACAATGTCCGTATTTAGTATTGCATGCGCAAGAGGAAAAGTAAAGCTGTCAGAGGTCTGTTTGAATTTTCATTTGGTATTTTTTATCTTATGCATTACGCATCTCTATAGAAAAAGTTATCGAGGTTTTTTATCTTGTGCATTGTGCATCTCTATAGAGATTTTATCTTGTACAATGTGCAACTCTATAGAGAGGGTAATGTTGAGGGAGATTTTATCTTGTACATTATTCATCTCTATAGAGAGGGTAATGTTGAGGGCAAATATTGAGGGCTTCTTTTGATGTTATGCACTGTTATAACGATTGTGTTATCTAAAATCTTTCTTGTAATCTTTATGATTTCTTTTGATCTTATCTAAAATATTTTTTCTTTTGATCTTTATGGCTTTTTTTGATCTTATCTAAAAATTTTCTTCTTTTGATCTTTATGGCGTATTTTGATCTTATCTAAAATCTTTCTTCTTTTGATCTTTATGGCTTCTTTTGATCTTGGGCATATCTTTTGATCTTGTGGAGCCCTATCTTTAGGGCTTCTTTCGATCTTGTGCATTGTTATAGATCTTTTGATCTAGTGCATTTTGTTTTGATCTTTATAGCTTCTTTAGGGCTTCTTTTGATCTTGTGCATTTTTTTTATCTTTATGGCTTCTTTTGATCTTGTTCATTGTTATAGATCTTTTGATCTTGTGCATTTTCTTTTTATTTTTATGGCTTCTTTTGATCTTGTACATAGTTATAGATCTTTTGATCTTGTGCATTCCTATCTTTAGGGCTTCTTTTGATCTTGTGTATTGTTATAGATCTTTTGATCTTGTGCATGGCTATAGAGAGGATAATGTTGAGGTTTGAGATCTGGTGCATTACTATCTTTAGGGCTTCTTTTGATCTAGTGCATTGTTATAGATTTTTTGATCTTGTGCGTGTGCATTCTTATAGATTTTTTGATCGTATGCATTTTCTTTTCATCATTATGGCTTCTTTAAGGATTCTTTTGTATCTTGTTCATTATTATAGATCTTTTGAGCATTTGTTTTTTATCTTTATGGCTTCTTTTGATCTTGTACATTGTTATAGATCATTTGATCTTATGCATTCCTATCTTTAGGGCTTCTTTTGTTCTTGTGTATTGTTATAGATCTTTTGATCTTGTTTTGTTATAGATCTTTTGATTTTATGTATTCCTATCTTTAGGGCTTCTTTTTTATCTTGTATATTGTTATAGATCTTTTAATCTTGTGCATCTCTATAGAGAGGATAATGTTGAGGTATGAGATATTATGCATTACTATCTTTAGGGTTTCTTTTGATCTTGTGTATTGTTATAGATCTTTTGATCTTGTGCATCTCTATAAAAAGGGTAATGCTGAGGTCCCTTTTGATCTTGTGATCTTGTGCATTGCTACATAGAGTAGAGTATCTAAAACGGGAGTGCGATCGTGTGCATCTCTATAGAGAGTATCTAAAAAGGGAGTGCACTCATCATTGTTGGTGGTGGTTTTATCCTTTTGATCTTGTGCATTGCTACATAGAGTATCTAAAAGGGGAGTGCGATCTTGTACATTCCTATAGAGAGTATCTAAAGGAGAATATCTAAAAGAGGAGTGCACCCATCATTGTTGGTGGTGGTTTTATCCTTTTGATTTTGTGCATTGCTACGTAGAGTATCGAAAAGGGGAGTGTGATCTTGTGCATTGCTATAGAGAGTATCTAAAAAGGGAGTGCACCCATCATTGTTGGTGGTTTTATCCTTCCTTAACTTTTCTTTGCATGTCCCTTTGAGGCAATTCATGGTTGATTTTTTTTTAAAAAAAAAAGCTAGTTTCCTTTGAGGCAATGAAATTCATCATTAATTTTCAAAAAAAAGAGAGTGGGCTCTAAACAATCAAATTAGAGTTTTCCTTCAAATAGTGTCGAGAGATGTGGTTTCAATATTGGAAATCTTTGTAATAGCCTTAAAATATATTTTCATATTTACTTATAAAGTTTAAAGCATAAAAATAGTATAGATCAACATATCTATGAAATCTTGAAAATATTGTAAATTGATCAACATATCTACAAAATCTTGAAAATCAACGGTCCAAAAATGCGTTACAAATTACACTATTTCCAAAACTTGCAATCCATTTTTATCTCATGTCCATGCATCTTGATGTCGAGATGACCAATTTAAATATATTTGGGCATCAAAACCTCTTCTAGTGAAATTTTTGAGGTAGGCTCAAATTTGATTGTTTAGAGCCTTGACACTATATAAACTTTTTCTATATTTAAATTAGAGAGATGATCTTGACAATAACTTCGTACTTTTGTCGTTTTAAAAAATAACCAATACCCTTGCAGGAAAATGACAATAGAAATATGATATTTTAGCACTATATAAAAAATATTTTTTAAAATTTACAAGATGAAACAACAAATCCAATTTAAGTACTGGGAGATTAGCAAAGTCAAGCCATCAAAATCAGAGAGTGGAAGGGTCTTCGAGATGAATAATTTTTTCTTTTTTCTTTTTTTCTTTTGGTGCGTGATCACTCTAGGTGAATAAAGATTTAGTTTTTGTTCAAGAAATCATATAAGATCAGAGAATTGGAAATATGCATGAAAGAGAAATAAAGAGTCAACAAAATATTACAACAGGAAATTGCTATTCTCCAAGAATAAAAAAGGCCTAAAATAGAGGAAGACAGAGAAGGAAAAAGAATAAATAAAATAAAAACTTCTTTACAACTAATTATACCCATCTTTCGAAGGGCATAGTTTGGAAGAGAATATGGAAGAGGATCTGAAATTGTTTGAAGAGATAGTACAATGATGATCAAGCTTAATTAAATAACTTACGGTATGCTCTTCTCTACTCATTGCAAGAAAGGAAATTTAATTAAGCTAAGAAATAGAGTTCTAGAGGACAGTGTTAATAAGTGTTATCGTGTATAATGAACTTATAGGTGCACTTTGCGAAAAGCATGATCTTATGAGATGGATGAGTATGAGGAGTAAGCTAGATAATGCCATCAATACTATTTTGATCCATTTCTCGTGCAAATGGATGATACACAGGAGGTCTCTGATGAATGGTAATAGGAACTTAAAAATCCCAAAACTTTATTTCTTTAAGAAAAAATGATCCAATGCCAGTTTAAATTTGGTTTAACTCATGCCATTTGTTTTCATGGTCCTGAGATGCAATCAGTTAAGACTGTGGTAGGCTTCCATGGTAAAATGAAAGACAATGCCACCACATATAATAACATCCAGACTAAACCTCCTTGGTTTTAGCATGAGCTGATTGCAAATTGTGTCCTCTAGGGGCAGTACCAAAGAGTTTCATACATTTTAAGTTTAAATTGGAATATATCAATACATTTGCAAGTGGATAATCTAGCTATAAGAACTAAGATAAAAGGAAAAATGCTGGCACGGTCAAGAAATACGACTCATATTATTTCCAAGAATCAGGAAGTTCAAAAAGTAATAGGCCTCATGAGGACCAAAGAGAGCACTTAATTACAATACATACCAGTTAATTTTGCATATGCAACTCCTATCAAATAGAAATAGCAACAAAGTGCCATGGAAACGAAATATGCAAGGGAGGGAACTATACCTCATCAGACTTGAGTAAACATACAAATGAGTGGAGATAATTGACTCTATAGTTTGAAGTAAAATTAGCAGTATTAGGCTTTTTATAAATTGCTGAAAGTGATGAGATGGATAACATGGAAGACGCACTCCTAGAGAATCAGTAACAGACGGGCCAAATTAGTAGCTTTCAAGCCTTATACTCGGGAATGTAGAAAACATCATGCAGATCTTAAGAAAAAAAGAGAATGGAAGTGGAGTGAAACTCGTGGCCAAATATGTCGATGCTAGTTATTATAAAAATCATAGGTAAGTTATCAAGATTTAATGAAATTACAAATATAGATTCAGTTGGAAAGCTAGATGTGCATATGTACCTATCATCATATTTTCAAAATTAAGTTGTGCATTCAAATTCAAAGCTTGATAGTAGAAATCAAACCTGCTGTAAATAAGGATCATAATCCATTTTTAAGATGCTAATATTATAAAGGTAACAATATCTCTGCTTGAAACCTCGCTCTCTCTACTACATACGCATACTATCATACCCTATGTGTTACCATAATCCCATATATCAACAATGTACAGTAGCTGTATGCCACAAGTATCACATAATGCTCATCTTTGATATCATTCACAATTTATATTCGTAATAATAAAAATTGTAAATCTTCTATGAAACAATTTCTTGAGCATCAATGAAAATAAAAACATCTAAATCGATAGCTCAAAACACGTGTGGAGCACCAACTCTTCGCTAGAGTGTGTGTGTGTGTATAACATGTAGCTTGCCCACGTTCAAAGGGCAAGACCAACATAGACCAATAAAAACTGCCCTTCTCAATATAAACAGTAAACTGCACTCGATTTCACAGAGAGAGAGAGAGAGAGAGAGTGAGAGAGAGAGAGAGAGAGAGAGTATATAGTAATTTACACTACAACGTACGTAACGACGAAGAGAGGAGTACTTATTTACTTTTATTAAGTTAAGTTATTTAACGTAACTTTACACATACAAACGAACGAACG